GCAAACACGGTGTCCTAGGCGCACCAATGCAAATACAATGCAAAGAAACACATAAGTGTAATCAAAACAAGATATCATGACTTCGAGTCAAGCTCTCTAAACTCCCCAGCGGAGTCGCCAGAAACTGTAGACGTCCCCGAACGTCCCGGGAGGAAATCCCCCGTTTTGTTCATTAGGGCTCACTACAGTTTGGACTCAAATTCTCACGGTTCTTAATCTGATCTCACAATGTGCATGTGAGATTGATAAATCACCAAAGAATCCAAATCCGGCAAATCATTTTGAAAAACAGATTTTTAGAAAGAAGTACCAAACATGGACTGCTTTGCCAGATACAAAGTCGCCACCTAAATGTCTTATTTTTGGGAAATTTAGGAAACCCTGACTCGTTGCCTAAGGCCACATGTCCGTCATTACCAAAGTTGTCTCAGCTCGGGAACTTGGGTACGATTGGGGAAGGTCAGCTATGAGCACCCCCGCTCGCCCGATCAAAGATCGACCACTACTAAACATGATATTTTGTTTTGAAAACATATGTGTTCTTATTCCAGTTAATTAGCTAGAACTTACCATGTGATGCGCACAACACACAAGTATAGACTAGATCGCCTAATTTGGAACAAAGCATCGCATATCCATTTGTTTGGAAAATGATTTGAAGTTTGCTACTCGCAAGTAGGCTAAAACACGAGTTTCAACGAATTATTCCAACTCAAGCAACCCAACCTTCACCCACAAGCATTCAGGCAGTTATATCACATAAGCATATAGCCTCATGGTAAGCATGCTATCATGGCAATCACTCACACGTATGCAAGGATGCTAAAGCATAAACACTTACCGAGTACTCCGAGCCAAAACAAAAACTAGTTAGTAATCAATGCATGATCCTAGTTCATGTTAAGATGACTAATGCAACACATGCAAAATGAAACTAAGATAGGCTCGGCTATTCTAAGATGGCATGTGAGATGCTACAACTAACACGTATTCAACTTGGAATTGAAATACAATGCAGCTAGTATGATGTGCTGAGCCCGGTGCATGCAAGACATATGAATGATGCAAACATGCATAGCATAAGGATGCTAATTGAAATATGCCCTAAATTTAACCATTGTAAGCGGTTAAATAAAAGGGAGAAAGAAACGGGGGTTGGAAGACATGCATCACACACACGCACACTTATTACAATATTGCCCTCTCTCGGAGGGTCCGGATAAATAATGCAAACCCAAATAAATAATTAACTACTCTAGCTAATTAAATATTACAAAAATTCTAATTAATTAACAAATTAAAATCAGAAGGGAGGTGGCCGCAGCCCCGCCTCGGAATGATGGGATGATGCATGCTCAATTCGCCTCGCCCGGAAACCTGTTGCCATGCCACTGTTGCCTCTGTTTACACTGCCTTGTTCCTCTGAAAGTTATGAAAGTTTCCAGAACCCTTCTGAATCACTCCCTGAGTATGGTGGGATATCACCAGCCTGGATGTAGGTCCACCGACCATGGGAAAATTATCATTGACCAAAAGTAGGACCACCGGCTAGACTTTGATGGTCGGTCGGCAGTAATAGTGGCCGGCCGGCCATTTATTCCTGCAGAATACTAGTTTTGCTGCAACAGAGGACAGACAGTGTATGGCATGGAATTTTCAAGACAGTGTGTGCATAGCCACCCTCCCTATCATGCTATGATCTCAAGGGAGTGTGGCCCTCGGTCCTCGGGCCATCAACCACGCATTTCGATGCATGATGGCCAAAGGTACCAAGTTTGCAAATCAATGTAAATGCATGCAACAAAACAAATGGATGCTTCACGCCCTATCATGTTGAGATCAAAGGCGTCGGCGACCAAGGAGTGAGACATGGTTCGTCACTTTAAGTATGAACACATCATATTCCTCATGCTTGGCTTGACACCCCAAACCAAACACAATGCAATGTAAGTATGCAATATGACTCAAATATGTAAAATGGCTCAAGTATGCAACAAGAGGCTAAGTTAGCAAAGCATGCCAAATGTAATGCAAACTAAACATGCAAATGTGCAATATGCCAAAGCATGCAAAATGCAATGTGGCAAACATGGAAAAAAAAATGCAATGGAACTAGCATGTGACAACACACAATGAACCAAATATGCAACCAACATGCGACAAACATGCAATGGTGGACTTAAGCCCAAAAGGGCAGACCTCAGCCTTGCCATAAGCAGTGGCCAAAAGTGATGGAAGTAATGGACAAGTGCTCATGCAAACATGCACACCAATGGGGCTAAAACCAAGGCATAAAAGGGAGCATTCCACTACAACCATCATGACCACACATGGCATGGATTATGCAACCAAAAACAGAGTTTCAATATGCCAAAATGTCCCCCAAAACCCACTTAGATGGCATCTAAATGACTTAAACAAAGAGGCATGCACAATGGCCCAAACATGGAGCATAAGACCACAACTCTTCAAGACATTGAAAGGGTGGTAGATGCAAGCATACAAGCATAAAACATGGCTAAAATAGCATGATAAGTGATTCCAAATCACAGAAATGGCTGAAGCAAAACATGCTCGTGACTCATACAGTCGAAGCCTACAAGCTAAAATGCAAAGAAGCTATACAAAGCATGGCAAACATGGCTAAGACAACCAAGGACAGACCTCAAGAATGGTAAAACATGACTAAAAACTTCACAAAGCTAAGCCAAAATATGTGAGCATGATGGTCCGAATGCAAGACACATGTTATGACAATAAAGGGGATTACAAAGCAAGTGTATGATGCATGCAATGAACTATCAATCCGACCAAAAACAGAGGTATAATATGACCAAATAACACCCAAAAGCCTCTGAGATGGAACTAAAACCAACTAACCATGCACACTACCTTTATGAACCAAAAACACAAGCATATGAGACATAAGGGGAGAGGGGTGTCCCTCCCCTATACAAGACCTCAAAACCCCTTCACCACCACTGAAAATCCTCAGGATTTCAGTGGTGAGAAGGCCAATACACGAAAGTTCTCAAAGCTCAAACAAAGAAGGCGCAAAAGGTCCAAACAAGGCCTAAGAGGGGGAGGTCGATCCCAAACACAAAAATGACCTTAATGAAGCATCTTAAACATGAAAAATTAGAGCTTTTATTAGTTATACACTAAGCCTAAAACAGCATGCAAGATAGGTTAAAAGTTAGTGCAAGAATGGGGAATATAAAGCAATATTGCTCACCTTTGAAGAACACTTCAAGAACAGCAACTCCAGCCCACTCCTCTGATCAAAACCAACCTAAAAGCTCTGAAATCAGTCCCTCAACACCTTAACAACTCAAGTATGGTGTAACACTAGGTGTTTTAGTGCAAAACTAAGAACAAAACACACTTTAAGGCACTCTAACACACACAAATGTAGAGAGAGAAGAAGATAGAGAGAGAGAGAGAGGTATATCAGATATATATGCCTAATTTGCTAAACCTCTCTAAAGGAAGGAGGGGCCTCCTTTTATAGAACAAACAAGGGGCCAAAGCTTCTTAGAGAAGCTAAGGCAAATGGGCCAAGCTTTCTCAAGAAGCTAGACCCAAGGTCCAAGCTTCTTGGGGAAGCTAAGACAAAGGGTGCAAGCCTTCTGGAGGAAGCTAAGACAAAGGGTCTAAGCTTCTCCAAGAAGCTTAGAGTAAAAGGGTGCAAAGGGTGCAAGTCTTCCATACACGTGTATGGAGGACAAGTCCGTGCACTCCAGCTGGCACAGCTGGCATGCAAAATGCCTGAAAAAGGCAAAAAAGAGGTACCGGCCAGAAAAAGAGACAATTGACCAAATAAATGGCCGATCGACTAGATATCCGTGCCGACCGACCAAACAATTGGTCGGTAGAAAGAAATAAAGGCCGGTGGCTTCATGCCACGGCCAGTGGGTTTAAGGGATGGCTAACAAACCACTTCCTACCCTCAAGTACAAGAACCACAAGTTCTTGGTCCACAACCAAGCACAAAACAGTCAAGTCGAGAGATCCTAAGACAAGGCGCGCAGCCGAGTCCTTCTGGATCTCAAAATGAACACGAACATGGATGATCACCAAGTGTTCAAACGATGACGTCCAATTCTTGAGGACGGTCAAAAATGGGGTGTCTATAGTGACATTAATGAAATTGTTCTTACCAAAAAGCAAACGTCGGATGCCCAACTTAGATTCCTAAGAGTTGTGACAGTTTGGCGACTACGTTATTAAGATGCTCGACCTTTGTATTTGTCTCCTCCCTTATTTTTTGTCCCTCCTCCCGCTCTTTCAACACCTCATTGGCTAATTGAACGTGCTCCTCTCGCTTTTTCAACAACTCATTGTAATATCTCTCGCACTCCTCTCGCTCTTTCATTAACTCGTCATGATCTTTTAGTCACTCCGCACGAAGTGCCTCCACCTCAGCTCGCATTGCCTCCATGTCCTTATCGTGTGCTCATGATGCAGCTATGGTAGAGAGTAGTGGGTCACTCCCAAATCCAAGCAAGTACCTTTTCTTCTATCCAAGCACTTGCCTTGAAAGCTCCTCCTATATCAATGGCGTCCCCGACTCGATGGCGGCCGCTTGTACGTTGACCATCTCTTCCTGTCATTGCAAATAAATAAGACAAAAAAAGCTAACTAACATATATATATTATTGGGTACTAAGTAAGGTCATATTGAATACAATTATTTCCTTGTCACATACTTACATGCAGCTCACGGCATTTCAGATGAATCCAGTCATTCGTTTTCTTGGAAGTGTGGCTGTCCTCATAGAACTTAGGAAAATCCAACTCTTGTCCTGTTTTTGCTACCTGTTAACACATCAACGTATAAATCAACGACACTTTAATCAAATTTTTGCAGACAGATTTGTATAATAACAGAGTTTTTGCAGACAGATTTGTAGTTTACATAGATTTTGCAGACAAATTTTTGGACAGATTTGCAGACAGATTTACAGACAGATTTTTTTGACAGATTTGCAGCCAGATTTTCAGACAGATTTGTAGACAGATTTGGAAATATGAGCACCACTATTCTAGTCAACACAAATTTCACAAGTTATTCAATGGTATCATTAACATATTTTTTTCAAACAGATTTTTTTGCTTTACAGATTTTTTCAGATTTTTTTCAAACAGTTTTTCAAAAAAAGCATGAAATGGAAACATAGCTCTTCTTCTTTTGCTTTACAGTTTAATAACAGTACTAATAGACTCAAAATTGCCCTTAAAAATCACAACATATCATTTTCATATCCAAACAACATATAATGGATTTAATTTTAAATAAAATCAATCTCACCATAGCAGCCATTACGATAGGAAATGAGCGAGACCCATTGGTATGATTGTACGGCAATTGGCTCCTATTACTCTTGCCAGCTTTTGACCGTTTCTAAAAATAAGACAAGTAGGTAAACAAATTTCAAAGTAAATATTAAGGTATATCACATTTTGGCATATATGTATGTACTATTTCTAGTCTATTATTTTACCTGGTGAGATACATCTTGCCATGCCACATCGATCAAATGCTTCCAATCATCTAAACTCACCCCTAGGGTTGGATGAGCATAGATCTCATCAATTGGAAGTCCCTCTAACAGTTTGAATTCTTGCTTCAACGTGTACCTCCAATCTTTGTACAACCCATATGCCTTCTTATTCACAATCTTTTGTGCTTGTAAGTCATTGTGGAAATCGCCTCCAATTTCAAACTTGTCCTACAAGCATAACAAATGGAAATTATGATCATTAAATAAAAGTCTTTCTTATAAGTGTACATAATACAATTACATCTTGTGGACAAGTAATATCAATTACAAGAACAGATTGGATGACGGCAGATTTTGTAGTCTCAGCAAGATCCAGCCACGATTTGACATCTTTCAGAGGGCACAAGCTCTTAATTTGAATTCCTAACTCGGTAGTTGCTGGAGTGACATACTTGCCAGTCATTGCATTCAACGCACGATCAATGTAAACATAACATTTTTCACCTTTCTTGGCTCTAATTATTTTTTGTATTCCTTTGCCAAGTGTCGGTCCACGTACACGTATGGGCTTCGAAGTCCCTGTTAACAAAGAAATCAACCAAAACAATTGTAAATCATATTAACGTGATAATTGATAAATTTGATATGCTTTGATCTTACCTACGCCACTCGGCTGCGTTTCGAATGGGGCTTGTGTCTCATCAGAATCAACTAATAGTGGGGAAGTGGCATGATGACTTGGTCCGTCATTTGATCGTACGAGGACAACAGGAGATGGAGCGACCGGTGATCCTAAAGGAATAGCAGCCGGCGAGTCTGTTATTGTGCCTGTGACTATTTTTTTCCGAAGCTGACCAGTCTTTAAGCCAAGAACCATTTTTCAAACTGCAATAAGGCAAGTAACTCTATTATAAAGCATGAAATACATGAAATAAATTAGACAACAATAAATTATGTTAGCAACGAAACAACTCAACTATGCTCATGCATAATTACATTACAAAGCATGATATGCATGAACTAAATTAGACAAAAAACAAAAATACAGTAATAAAAATTCGTCACAAAAAACTTGTTTGTGTAAAGGTGTGGACAGTTTTTGTCTTTGTAATGAGAGGAGGTTTTTGCACGCAAGATGTTTGTGTAAAGCTGTGGACAGTTTTGCCAAAAGGTTTCAACTTAGATTCCTACATACATGTTAGTGGATCAAGTAGTTAGAGCAGTTCTAGCATTGACTCTGGTTGTTCTTATATTTTCAAAGAATATATCACACAACTCTTTTTTGCCCATTCTAATATTGAGGAAATAGAAGACTTAAAGTTTAAAGGTATTGTAGATGCTAGTAAAATCCTTTCTTTGTTCTTTGTCCACTCTTAGTTTTTAGGCTTTTTTTGTTAATGACTAAAATGCCATCTGTTCTTTCCAAAACATGCTTGGAGCCGCCTCAATTCTGGAGTAACCATTACAGACAGTTTGCTCGTGCAAATACTTGGAAAAACCCTAAGTTCATTTTATTAAAATTTTATGATATATAATACTAGCTATTACTGTCTATGATAGAGGTTCAGTGACTGTTAGAAGTACGTTGATACTAATTTAGTTACTGTCTATGAGAGAGGGAGGGTGCAATGAAGAGAAGAATGACAGGGTTCAGTGACCAACTGAAGTGGAGACTTGCTTTTCAATTAGTGAGAGTGAGGCATCTATTATTTATGAATGCATTTAAGAAAAAAATCACAAAAAAAAAAATAATGGAACAAAAAAATAATAGCCAGGTTAAAAAAATCACATTGTTCATAATCCGATTATTAGCAATAAAAAACTTTAAAATAAGAAAGATTAATTAAGAAATGAATGCATTTATGATTCATGAGAAGCCTTAGAAGACACCAATTTTGAATGAGCTTCAGCAACAAGAGGAACGCCAAAAAGATTATGGAACAAAATGCTGAGAAAAAAAAATGATCTAACAATAACAACGTATAAATGAATGGCGAAACAGAAAAATGATCATGTAGCTAACCAACTATGTGAAGTTCGGACTTAGTTGAGTGAATGAACACAAAAAAGATGCTACTGAAACGGGGAGATTACACTGAAGACTACGATGCATGGACAAAGATACAAAAGTAATACAAATGAATCAGCAGTCAACCCTTAAAAGGTAGAGTACAAGCACAAAGAGGATATGGTAACAGATCAACATTATGTATGACAACTTTTCTACTTAAAATGAATACTCTCAAAGAATAAAATCTGAGTAAATGAGAGATTGAAAACAATTTCTAGAGAAAGAGAGAGAGAGAGAGAGGGAAAAGTTACCTACAGTTGTGAAGAGTGCACTGCAGTTGCTGATGGAATTGTTGTTGCTGGAACTGGAACTGCCAAGCTGGTTTGAACAATAAAATGTTTCCTACCAAAAATGAAATAGCATTTCGTTAGCTAATTTAATAAATATACTCACATTATAATAGAATTTTCGATAATGTTTTATGATCAACAGAGGCCAATGGACTATAACATTGAGCCACATCATAATCAACACAAGATTTCACCCATTTAGCTAAAATTGAATCAGAAACAACATCCAAATACAGAAGCAAACGAAGCAACTTGATCGTGATTTCACCCAAAGTTAGGACGATGCACTACTTTGATTTGCATTAAAAGCAACTTGATCGTGATATTTATCCAAAAGACGTTGATATTCCATCTGTAACTCTTCTTTGAAAATGTTGTCAAAATGAATAAGCAATTTCAAAGGTGGAGATTGAGAAAGAATATCATGAAGCAAATTGTTTGAGGACTTATGCATGTTAAGTCGGTGAAGAAGTACAAAGACTTCATCCTTAAGCTGAGTGAAATCACCCATTGGTTCACTTGTAATAGAGGATTCAAATAGAGTAGGCTCACAATATTGAGGTTGAATAGATGACATCCTAAAAAGTTGGGATGAACAATGATCACCAACAAACATTTTCCCACGACATTGAAATCCAGCTATAGGTGATGAATGGGCTTTCATTTCAACTGCCATCAATAGGTTCATCCCGTAGTAGAAATCAACAAACAAAAGGAAATTTAAATTCAATTTAAAGATTCTACAACAAACATAAAAGGGCAAATAATCTACCTGAAAATAGAGCAAATAGAATTACAAATATAAGATATAATATGAGGAAACAATGGGAAGTAAGATAGATGAATTAAGCTCTGATACTCAAAGTTACTAAAAGGGCAAACATAGACACCTCTTACTTTGTATAAAAAATACACCCTTATAAAAGAAAACATAGTTATGAGACAGTGCTGAAACATGATTTTAGGTAGTAAGATTGAAAGGTAAATTATATGGCTCTTACTTTACCCCCTCAAAAAGAAAGTGGATATACAATTATAGCTCTTATTTCATCTCCTATGTGTTTCAAGAAGGAAAGTGAATATAAAATTTTATTGGCAATAATGAAAAAATGGAGGATATGACTCTAGATGGAGCTGTATGTTGGAAAAAAATTCATTGAGTTGACTCCAAGTAGACATGTTTAAATTAATTAAATTGAGTTTTTTTGGGAATCTCTTGTTCTCTTATATGCAGCAGCTACATTCTAAATTCCAGGGAATTTCTCCTATGTTCAATATAATTGGACTCATATCATGCTCTTTATTCAACTAGCAAGCTCACTCTCTTGATTTTCAGTGTTATTCAAAGGCAAACACAAAAGAAATAAATCAGTGGAATGCAAATAATTCATCACTACTTAATAAAAGCAAAAAGTAAAGCAACGAAGCTACATATGACTATTAATTTAAAATGGTCTTCAAAATGTAAGTAAAACACAATGCAGAAGCAGAAAGTAGAAGATTGAATGTGAGAAAATTAAGGAATCATGATAGATTTTTTAATAGATACACTAAAGTGAATAACAATAAATGCATGAATGTGTAGTGGATTCTGAATAGACCATAAAACAAAATAAAAACTCACTCCCAAATTTGTTTTCCAAATGATGGTGATGAGTTGGCAAAATAAGGGAATGCTCTGGTATGGAAGACTGGTTTTTGAGAATGCATTTCGTTAAGATGGTTGCATCAGCTGTTCATGAGATGTGTTGCATTTTTCCAAATGTTGTGATTGTGATGTTGGTCACTAACTACTTAATTTATGACATTACGGCACTCTCATTGGCCTGTTAAAACAATTTGGTGATGATCACAATTTTCACTTAGTGTATTAAGAAGAAGTTACTAAAATTGGGAAAGTATTTGTAGAGGGTAAATCTTTTTTTTTTTTTTTTTTTTTTGTAATTTTAAGTCTTTGGTTTAGAAAATAGAAGACAAAAATGAAGCATGAAAATTAAAGGTGAAGGGTAAAATTAAGAATTGAAAATTAAAGAAAGTAAGAAGTACTTCTACGTTAAACATAAGCAAACACAAAGCATTTATAACATATAAAGAATTAACAAGAACTTTTGTTAACAAATTTAGGTCAATTCTAGAAGAGTTCTAAAGAGAGAGAAGTTCCTTCTATTCTCAATGTTTGAAAGTTTGATCATTTGGAAAAATTAAAAGAAAATTTAAGAAAGTAAATGTAATACTTAGTTGTTGTGTGATGAGGTTTAAAAAAAGTAGATGATAACAGATTTTGTATAAGTACGTTTTTGCGACATGATAGGAAGTGCGAAAGAGAATTTCAAGCTTACAACTAGGAAGGATTGTCTTCTCTCTGAGAGTGAAAAAAAAAAGGAAAAAAGAACAATTAATGAGTAGACAAACAACTTAAGAAACTATTACCTTTTGCATAAAATTAATAAGCTAAACAAAAGTCAAAATAGAGTAAAATATTTCCCTCTTAAGAAATTGAATTCATACAAAGTGATCACATATCAAAGAATGATTTATAATGATTATTATACATCAGATAGAGAGCAAGATTCTACAAATGTTCTCTGTGAGGTTGTGGAGAAACACCATGCTTCCATATTGGTTGTGGGTAGTCATGGCTATGGAGCTATAAAAAGTTGTGGGATCCATCTTATCCCCAACACACAAGTGAAATTTAGATATTGCAAAAATTTATTGGAATTCATTGTGAAAGCACAAGGTTCAATTCGTAATTGGAACATTGGTATATGTTTTAAATCTTTTGGATAAATAAAAATCCATTATACATCATTAAACATCTCAGTTCTAAATTCAATAACATCTCAACCCAAGAATTGCTGTAATTTTAAATTTCATTAACAATGCCCTAATTTTCGACATAAACTATATGATTTATGTGTGTATATATATATATGTGTGTGTGTGTGTGTAAACAGGGACAGAGAAAGAGAGAGGGAGACAGTGAGAAGGAGATAGAAAAATGGAGAGGGAGATACGTATCTCAGATAGAGGGAGAGAGAATAGAGGACATACTTGTGAGGGAGACTTCCCGATGACCCAGCAACCCTTGCGGTGATGGTGATGGTGATGGCGATGGAGATTTCGGCTATAGAGAAGAGGGAAACAGTGTATAATCGATTATATATGGGATCAAGGTTGTGTATATATGATTTGTGTGTGTGTGTATATGTATGTATATATATATATATATATATGCATGTATGCATGTAAACAGCGAGAGAGAGAAAGAGGGAAATCGAGAGGCCATACAAAGAATGAGACAGAAATGGAGATAGAGAGAGAGAGAGAGGACATACCTGGGAGGGAGACAAAGTGATGATCCACAAGCCTTGCGGTGATGGCGATGGAGACAAAGCAGTGACAGAGGCGAGAGTGCGAGAGGGAGGGAAATGGAGTTCTATTGCAATAAAAAAAAAACAAAAAAATATTTTTTCCCGACAAAATTTTATTTTAGTCGCTAAAATATTTATCAAA